GTCGGAAGGGCGAAGCGAACACAATACGATTCCAGGAATCCCTCACTTCCTGGAACAGATTAAAAGGGGCAAACAAAAGATTACTTAGGAGGTTGGGCTTCTTTCCTCGGAGCGTCATTACGCGTTGAGCCGCTGAAGAAGCAGGTCGCTGCTCCGCCGGCTCTCTCTCTTCCCCCAGATACTCATTATTTATTGCTATCTATTTATTATTATTTCAGACTGCTCTGAATATTTTTTTTTTTTTCTAAAATACTGCTCTGAAGGAAGACTCGTTCCTCTTTAAATACATGTCATTTCCTTTTTCTCTGGTTATTTTTAAAACTTTTTTTTTTGTCGGCGTTTTCTGCCAAGCAGAACAAGAACACGATCTTTCCTCAAGCACCGAGCGTGCACGCGTTCTCCTGCCCAAAGTTCCTAAAGAATCCGCAAAGTCTTTCTTGGACAGCTCGATTCGCCTTCTGCTCGGCTTCTTCTGCCTCTGAAACACAACCCACTGCGGAAGGGGTTTGCTGGGACTCCCCTCCAGCCTTCCCTTACCACAAACTCCTAACGAGAGGCTGGAACTTGCCTGCTCCTCCTGGGAAGCAAAGAAAAAGGAGGCGAGAAGGAGAAAAGAGAAGAGGAGAGAAAGCATTTCCCATCTTCTTCAAGACTTAATGCTTTTCCCTTGGTCCAGGAGTGACATGATCCTCTGTGTTCAGGGGTAAGACACTTTGCAGCCTTCTTTTAAACGCTGTGGTTTGATAATTGTCATTAGTAAGATTGCCTGGGACAGTTTTTCAGCTGGTGTGAGTTGCCGTGTGTGACTGTAATGGAACGGGAATGACTTACGCCGCCGAGTGCCGAGTTGTGCATGTGTCCCCTGTGCGTCTGCTGTTTAGATTCTACGGCCAAAAATCATGGGACCATAAAGTAGTCCTGATTTCTGTGCCTTCTATTGCTGAAAAATTACATGGTAATTCCAAGTCTTTGGAAGAGTGAAAATTAATAAAATCTTGGAGTTTGTTGTTCAGCGGTGTGTGTGCAGCACCAGCGGCGACACAAGCCCCAGACCACAGATGTTCTCTGATGTCCTGGTGGAAACAAACTGCTTACAGGGAAATACTTCCCTGGGCTTCAGATGTTTTTGTCTATGTCTAAGTAAATATTTAAGCTAAACACGTAATTTTGGTTTTCTGTTGCATTTATGGGTAAGATCAAATGTATATATATGTATATACAGACTGACCCACATACAGCAGTTCTGTAGAATGAAAGCCATAGGGGACACATAACATAGTGACAGCACCTTTGGTCAGCAGAACAGGTAACATCCAAGTCCCTTCTCCGGTACCGGCATCTGGTACCAGTGTGTTGGCACTTCAGTGTCTCTGTGATCAGCTCAGGTCCTGAACACGCACAAATACCTGGTCTGCTGGAATTATCCAGCGTTTTTACACACACTGCCTATCTGGAAAGTGTCAGCATTTGTTCCAGCCTGAGCTGTACTGTCAGTATTGCCCGGCCCCCCTGCCCTCAGTGGATTTTCCTCGGAGGCAATGCGTTTGCTGTCTCTGCTTTAAATGACTAAAGCACGGGGATTTTTCTGCCATTTCCCCCCAAAATCTGTTCCACAGACAAGCAGAGCTCATGCTTACCAATACTTTCCTACTACTCAAGTGGGTTTGTTTTCACTCTCATTTTCAGTCTACTGCTGCAGCAAAGGGAATTCAATTTCAACTCAGGCTTTGGGAAACCCTTATCTGCAGCTTTTCTCTGGGGTTAACATACCAGAGCTACTGCTTCCCTTCACCCACTAAGAACTTCTTATGTAGCCAGATGTCTAGATAGTTGTCTCTTAATATCTTCTTCTAGTGACCATTTATTGCTCAGTTTTCAGGATTTTCTATATCCCGGGCTCCACACTCCGCCTCCTATTCAGACCAAGCTCCCATGGGAGTCTTGGGACGTGGCTGATGGGAGGGAGAGCAGCTCGACACACTTTTTCTTGTACTATTTGTACTGTGTTAGAAAGTTTTAGCTTATCAGCACAGTAACTGCAAAGCTAACACTAAATGATATCAGACACATCTGATCCTCTTGAACTTTCTTGGTTTTCCAAGGCTTTTTGAAACACTAATTGCCAAAGCACAGGGAAGTTCATTTGCCATTTCCCTTGAGACTCTGCACAGTCTACCAGCTAGACATGCCAAATTTTATCTATTTGTTTTCTTCCTCACTACAGCTGCTGTACTAACACTTTACTCTGTTCAGGCATTTCTCTCCTCTATGTTCTTTCTTACAAACACTAATTGTTTTCAAATACTTACTTGGCCCCATTAAAGGGCTGACTTTTTCATGTCAGCATACCTTTTTCAACACATCCTTATCCCAGCAAAGTCTTTTTATCCCTCTTGCAAATGTACTTGCAATGAAAGATGTAGTCTACTATTACTCACTGATCCCTCTGCTCTCCCTTTCCTGTGCTTGGAGCTGCTCTGGTCACAGCAGCAGCTCTTTTTTCTTCAACCTATGTACAAAGTTGTTTAGGACGCCAGCACCTCCTGGTCTATGAGAATTTCTAATCCCACCATGCTCCTTTGAGACTACAGCTGCACTAGGACTTTTTCTAGGGGGAGAGGGGAGCATAAGGCAGGTGTATAGAAGGAAAATAGGTAAAGTATAAGCATCGCCCTTCTCTGGCTGCTATGGAAGAATCTCTGCAGCGACTGCATGGGGTTTGGGCTCCTTCAGCTTCAGGTGGCAGAAGGTGTAAGGCAGCAGAGAGCAAGCACAGTGGGAAACTCATCTCAAGCACATGATCTCTGCTTCAGAGAGACCCACAGTGGCTCTGTAAAATAAACCTACTGACAAATTCACAGAGTTGATGAGCCTTTTGGAGGACCAAACTGTGAACTGGTACAGCCCTTCAAATTAACAACTTTCTGCAATGAAATGGGTGTACATTGCCCCACATAGCTTTGCTGTCTCTCTCTTCTTTCCCACTCTTTTAGCCAAATCCCAATTTCCTCTCCAAAGTAGGTATATAAAAAGAAAAGAAAAGTAGTTCCATGCTAGGAATAAGAAAAGTTTTCTTAGTGTTCAAAACCTTTCCCAAAGGTCAGAAAAATTTTCCAGGAGAAAGCAAGTTCAGAGAGATGTGGAATTTGGACCGCAGTATTCACGTTCTGGGGAGCGAGTGGGCAGCAAGCGGTGCAGGACTGATTTTATTTAACATTGGTCACGGTCATTTTCAGCTCAGTGAACAGTCGGTATAAGAACACACCTGAGAGAGAATGCTCTGCCAACAGTCCTGTGTAACACCCTCTTTGCACAGTGTGAACTATTATATTAGCTTCAGTACAGTGAAGGATCTGGTTTATAGTCCTCCTTGCTCAAAAAGGGGGGAAATGGAGAATCAGGAATCTCCTTTCCCCTGCCAAGAAGGCAGGTAGCTAGACATTTGTGAAGACTATGCCATTAAGAGGGAGGCATCTAAATATCTTTAAAAGTGCAACCCTCGACACCTACAAGTGTAGCTCATGTGGGACTTAGAGAGCTCGGAGGCTTCCCAACAGCGATCTCAGGTATATTCAGATCCGCTGTTCTGTGAAAGCCACTGAAAATGCAGTCCCTGTGATCAAGGGTGCCTGGTGAAGGTAAGGGCCAGCTATCACTTTTATTAGGTTTGGCTTCCTACTCATTTCTACATTGGCAGAAAAAGAAATGCTCCAACATTGTAATGATGTAAGTGAAGCTGTAATGCTGCTATGAACCCTATTGCCTCCAAAACTACGTATTCAAAGGCAACATCTGAACATATCAGGTTTCAAATCAACTTAAATTACAAGACAGACTTTTACAAGGCAAAAGAGATCAACTTTCCCTGTTTCTAAGGGCTCATCTTTAGCTGTGTAATTTTTCTCCTCTTGCCTCTCTCTGAAACATAATCATATTGAGGATCTGTTCATAAAACATAACATGTTGTAGGACACTGTAGTGTGCACGGATAGACACTGCAACCTATTTCAAGGCAGAGAAAAACAGCAGAGTATGTCCTTCATTTCAGACCTCATCCTTTGCTGGCGGAGGAGAAGATCAGGAGACTGTCACTCAGGGGCATTGCAGTAGATCTGCCGGAGCCGATCATGCAGCCTCTCCCAGTCATGGCCTTCCAGGAGGAGTCTGCGCCTGCCTTTGCGGCGCCAGTTCCAGACAGCAACCCACCTCCAACACGAGACCCCGAAGAAGACCTTCTCTGCATTGCAAAAACCTTCTCCTATCTGCGAGAATCTGGTAAGGCTCAACTCACAAAGTCGTGGGGTCAGAAGGCTACAGGGAGCAGGCAGACAACTCTGCAATCTGAGCTCCAGGAAGAATCTCCTGATCCCACTTCAGATAGGAACCTGGTTCTGTCACAGCCATGGCTGACTCTTGTGGATGCAGCAACTGTATTTTCAGTCTCTACAAACTTGTACCACGAAGTAATTTATTACTAGCATAAGCAAAAGCTTTTCTTTTACAACTGAATCAGGGGGGAAAAAAATGCAAAAAGGCCCCTCTTTCTCTGTAAACTGCAGTAGCTGCAAAAGTACTCATCCCATCCCAAGCCCCAGCACAGCAATGACGAGCACTGGTAGGAAACCCTTAGAACTTGGCATGGTCTTAACTTCTGAAGGTCTTACCAGGTTTGGGCTTGATTAATTCCCATGCTCTGAACTCAGTAGGCTTCAAGGCTTCTCTATAGTATGTTTTTTCTCTAACAAGTTTTTTCTGGGATACTTTTCCAGGTTGGTACTGGGGATCTATCACTGCCAGTGAGGCCAAGCAGCATCTCCAAAAGATGCCTGAGGGCACCTTCCTGGTACGAGACAGCACCCACCCCAGCTACCTGTTCACACTCTCTGTCAAGACAAATCGAGGTCCCACCAATGTGCGAATCGAATACACCGACAGCAAGTTCCGGCTGGACTCAAACTACTTGTCCAAACCTCGTATCCTGGCCTTCCCAGATGTGGTCAGTCTTATCCAGCATTACGTCATGTCCTGCACAACAGAAAGCAAGAACGAGGCTCCTTACCCGCCTCCGTCTCCTCTACCTCCCATGCAAAAAGAGATGGCAGCAGCTGCCGTACACTTGAAACTCATCCGGCCGCTCAGCCGCAAAGACAACATCCCCAGCCTACAGCACCTCTGCCGGCTGCGGATTAACAAGTCTACAGCCGATGTGGACCAGCTCCCTCTACCTAGGAGGATGGGGGACTATTTGAAGCAATACCCTTTCCAACTCTGAAGCGTGGCCGTTATATCTCAGGCATGACAGACAGGGACAGAAATAAGAGAACTCTGTGTCTTTATCCCGCTAAAGCGTGGCGTCAGGTGGGCACAGTAAAGACCTGATTATGGCAGAGACTGCATCCATCTTTCCTCTCCCCTTCTCTCTAAATCCATTCCAGCACCAGGGAGGAGTTGGTTGTTTCAGTGAACAATGGGACACAATCTGAGCTCTGAACCTCAGGCCGCGCTGATAGTGGCTGCGAGAAGTGCTGTAGGCATGTGCACACTACTTGAATTTCAGAGTTGCTGTGACACCAGAAATGTTAACTTTGTTATTTTTGATATTTATTTCCATGGCAGTTTCTCTCCTCATGGTATTTTAAAAGCACCTTTTACTTTATTGTTTTTTTTGTTTCTTTCTCTCTTGTGGAATTAGAGGTAGAATAAAGGCTCCCAGCCAACTAGCAGCCAAAAATCTGTGGGAATTTGGATTTGGATTTACATCCAAGCAGTTCCTGTTTGAGCCTGTCCCTCTAACAGGTCACAGGAGTCCAAATCTAAGCTCCCTCAGACTTCTGGAGTATGTGGGACTCAGATAACTGTATCTAAACCCACCTCATCAGAAGTAAAGAACATTTTTTTTTTCTTCCTTAGCTACAGGGGGCTGGGTATCACAATCTCCAAGCGTGTTGGAAGCAGCTTGTGCGTCTCCCGGAGACACATGCTGCATCATAGGCTGTGGACAGGAGACTTCTCTGAGGAAACCCTTCTTCCTTGAGAGCTCTAAGCAGAGATTCTGGACATTGAGCTTGGGCCAGGGAGCACTCATCCCATTTTTTTTTCCATCTCCCCTCTCTCCAAAGGAAGTTTGTGACAAAACATTTATAAACAAGTAATCAGAAAACAAACTTTCTTATTTGCAGGCAGAGGGATTTGTTTTCAGAGCACTCTGCATTTGGCTTGTGTTTTGAAAGTGCTGTTCCCTGACATTGCCCTTGCGTTTAGGTAAGTGGGGCAAGAATGAGGTCTCCTAGACCAGGGGCTCAGAGACAGAGACAGCTCTGCTGAGCTGCACCAAAGACACACACAGCTTCAGGATATTTATTTATTGATTTCTGAGAGGTAACAAGTTAGAAGCACCTCAGCAGAAAGAGCTGTCCTTCCTCTCTGCTAACACAATGCCAAACTGCCAGTTGCTCTGCTTCTGCCAGCATTAGTCACAAGCCACGTGGCTTCAATCAGAGCTAGGCTCTAGCACACACTGGAAACCACAATTCAACTTTTTCGTTTGCCAAAGTCCAGACCTCTCCCCTCCCTTTCTCCGACTTGCATGTTTGTTATCCTTAATTAGATTTTTTTTGCTCTGAGTTTACTTCTTGCACCCAATCCCTTTCACACCCCCAACAAATGAAGCACAATGGCTCTCCCTTACTCTTTTGTGGATAGAAGGGATAGAGAGCAGATGGGATCTTCCCAAAAACAACCATAGACAGAGAAGTTGCCCCTTCCTCTTCATTCATATGATCCCATCACCTTCCCAGCCTGTAGGAGCCAGTCCATGCCACTGAGTGAGAGTAGAGAAGAGACAAGTCTAGAGAAATTATCCTTTGGCTTCTTCTGACCCTAAGACCCCGTAACTTGATCAAGCATGAATCAATGTTAAGGATTCCTTGTTCATCCCTCCCTAGGACTGTCTCTAAGGCTCTGCAAGTTAGAAGAGAGAAATCCCAACTATACCTGAGGGTTGAGAGAAGAGGTGGAAAAGGATGGGATGGTGATCCAGGAGACAAGCTCAAAAAATGGGTGGTGTTTCTTCCACCCTAACTTAAAGCTACTCAAAGGGACAAGATGGCCTGATGTGCTTAGTCAGTGTCCTTCCCCCCCCCCCCCCCCCCCATACAAGTTTGTGCTCTTGCAAGCTTTGTTTTTTGTTACTTTGATGCTTGACAGTGTGCATGTGTGATGTCAGGTTTGCTTTTTATTATATCCTTCTCCGTTGCCCCATCTGGCAGCAACCGTGGGAAGGGACTGAATGAGAATGAAAACTTAGAAGGCAAAACAAAACTACTTTTTTTTTTTTTTTTAAATAATATAAAACATAAACCACTGAAAAGGCTTCCTTTTATCCAAACACCTCTATCTGCCTGAGGACACTGGGAACAAGGAAACCACAGCTCTTCAAGGAGCAGCAGTGATCTCAGGAAGCCCACATGGCTCAGCCACAGGCTTGGTATCTACAGCAGGTGAAAAACCAGTTTGAGAAACGTACAGCGGGACAGGGCAAGTTGTTCAGCTCTCCAAAACTTGCCAACTACTTGATTTTTACTCTGTTGGGGGTAATGAGGAAATCATGTTTGCAGGTTTTTACCTCATTGCCCCAAGAAAGCCCAGCTGAAATGGCAGGAGCATGTAAGGAGAGTGAATGCCTGGTTAACCCCTGGCAGGACGATGCAGAGGCCAAGCTGAAGGCTGTAAGCTCGTATGGGCAGGGACCATCTCTGTTATGTTTGTTCCGCATCTAGCACAATAGGATTCTCTAGGTGCTACTGCAATACAAAGAATAAACAATACAGTTACTCCAAAAAGTCAGTTTCTTCTATCTTGAGACAGTTTGTTAAAAATAATTTGACTTGGATTTTAAATAAACATTTTAAATATATTTTAAAGCCATTCAATGTGGAAGTCTTTCATAAAATCCAAAGGGATTAATTCATTTGCTATTCACAGAAATCCTCCCCAAGAAGATCAGAGAAAACTTGACCATTTTTAATTTTTTTTTTTTTTTTTTTTTCAAACAAGACAAAGACCTTTAACAAAAAGAAAAGCCCTTTAGGTACTGGGAGAGTTAATACCAAAATCATCATCCCTGTGGGCCTGGTTCCTACTACACACAGACAAGCAGCGGCAGACCCCAAGTTACCAAGGGCTGAAGGAACATTCTTTAATGATGCAAAAAACACAGGAATGATTTTTGCATTGCTACTGTGTGCCATAGAAAACCATTACAATCTAGGGGAAAGGAGATGGAACGTAACTGGAAGTTTGGCAACTTGTTTACAGCAGGCTTCAAGTTGGCCACAACGAAAAATTCTGCTCATGGTAGTGTTGAAAGATGAGTTCATGAACAGCAGGACCATGCTCTGGATGGGAGACTCACAGCATCAGCTTTTTCCCCATGTTCTGCTGCCACTGGGCCTGTCTCCCCATATTTGCAGCCTGGCCCAGCACCGTTGCCCCTTCTCATCACCTCAGGTGCCACACACGCAGGTGGGGAAACCACTGGGGAGCTGGATCTGCCCTATGGTGTCAGAGGGAGACAGAGGCCACCTCATCTGTCCTGCCTCTGTGAAAGGCAGGGATTACACTGAGGGAGCCCCAGTCCTGGCACACGACTCCACTGTGGCCCCTTTGCCCTCACATCCCAGGTGGAATCCTCATGCCACAGTCCCCCCATCCTGCCCGAAGCAAGGCACAGCGTGCTCTCAACCACTGGGAACAACAAAATATGCTCAGAAAAAAACAAAACCAGAAGAGGAACTCAACTAGTTCCCCTCAGTCATTCTCCCTTTCCAAATTCACTGGGTTCAAAGTTCAAAATACTGCTCTAAAGTATTCTTAAAGCACGTGCTGTCCTTTCTATGCCAGCGATGGGCTTGGCATTCACTGGGCAAACATTGTTTCCACAACCTCATCAACGTGAGTCCATGGGTAGATTTCCATTGCACACCAACCAGGAAACGTGGGCAACAGAATAATCTGCTCAAGTTTTAAGTTGTTAAACAAAATCACATCTCTCTTGGTTTTATGGGAAATGAGGAAAGTGAACTAGACAGGGTAGAAACAAAACACAAGCAAAGTAAGAGGAAAAATGAAAACAAAAGGAAGGAAAAGCTGCATCCATCTTTAAAAGGGAACGTTGAAAAGCCTAGAAAATACTGAAAAGAAAGTTGCAGCATTTCTGACACCGTATTAAGTAATTTCTTAACTTGTTAGCTAGGCTAACCTCTTCCCATAGCTACATATATAGAACCCTGCAGCTCACCTTCCACAGACTGAAGGCAGAAACGATTAGCATGAGTCAAGCCAATACATAACTGCACTCACACATGGTTTTACTGCATCGGCTGTTATCGTAACGACTCCCACTCCTGCATCTTCAGCACATTTTGTTAGAGCAAACAGGTTCATATTCTAAGAAATCCGGCACCAATCCTCTCTGCAGACTGAACTGATTTTTACAATTGAGTTCCACATGGCTGGAAACAGGAGCATTCGTGGAAATGCAGCCTGACGTTTATAACTGCTGAAGTACAGCTGCAACACCCTCCCAGCAACACCTGTATATTTTGCTGAGCCAATACAGGACAGTTTGGCTGTCAGTTTTTGACTACAGATAGAAACCTGGACACAGAGTCCTCACTGAGTCTGAAAGCAGACTGATAGACTACGGAATAGAAATCCCAGTCCATGATGGAAGTCGTGCTCCTGTGGCTCAGTGCCACAGCAGAGAGACCCTGCAGTTTGTCAGGCACCTCTGCTATCATTTTCTGTCTTAACTAATCAATCTTCTGAAACAGCAACACATGCAAGGGAAAAAATAACCTGTTTATGTGCACGTGTCCCTATCCTCTCAAACTCACTGAAATCTTATTCCTTTCCCCAGATACTCTCAAGTGCACAACTTCCCTGAGCCCAAACCAGATGAACCAGCAAGAAGTGAAGTGAATCAGCAGAGTGTATTTAATTCTTTTACGACAGACATGGTCAGGTGTTTCAAGCAATCAACCTGTTACACGTCATTTCCAGTCCAAATTCCTTTGTCAGTCTTACCTGCTATCTATGAAATTAAGAAAATTAACATCAAAATTAACTGGACACTGTATGTATGGCTCTTCTGCTCTGCTGAATCATGTTCAAATCTGTCAGAAGCCAATTACCACGATCCTTTCCTGTCTCTCCCTAATGACTGCTGAAACACTTGCAATCCTCATGGAAATGCACCGTCCTCTTCCCCAC